GAGAGGAGCCAGCAAGGATCCATCCATTCCTTGGACCCAGACAGCTGAATTCCTGACTGTCCTTCCTCCCCGGGACTGTCAGGAGGGGAAAGGAGGTGCCCCTGCCCCTTTCTCTGTGGAACCTCCTTTTGTCTGCTGGACTCGGGCTACTGTAGAGGTGGACTAGGGAATTCTAGCTCTCCTGCTCCTGTTCTTGTCACCCTGCTGTGTAGCCCAGGCGAGCTGCTGTGTAGCCCAGGCGAGCTGCTGTGCAGTCCAGGCAAGCCCTGCACCAACCACTTCTGTCTGTAGTGGGGAAGATGGACCAAGTTCCACTTCCTGGCTACTGTAGCCCTCCTCACTAGATTCCATTGCCTGAACTGTTGACTCATAGTAACAGTTGCTAACAACATGGATCAAGGTGACACCTGGGAAAAAAGAAAGCTCTCTGGAGTCACGGGATCTGTGCCATCTTGGATATTTCTTGGCCTCCTTCTGGGCCTCAGTCCCCTCACCCATCCCATTAACACAGATAATACAGAGGTTCAGAGTCTCTGTCCACCATGTCCCTTCCCTTCCACAGATTCCCTAGGGGATAGTATATGTCCTACCTGTAATGGTTAGTTTATAAATTGCCAACTTAGCAAAAATAAATAAATAAATAAAAAATAAATTGCCAACTTAGCAGAATTTGGAATTACTGGAGAGACAGGCTTCTGGACATCCCTGTGGGGGATTATCTTGATATGGTAATTGACGTGGGAAGACCCATCTTGGCTGTGGGTGGGACCATTCCCTAGGAATTGGACCCTGAGCTGGACAAAACGAAGTGAGTGAGCCGAGCAAAGCATGTGTGCACTCATCGCTCTCTTCTGAGTGCAGACGTCATGTGACCAACTGCTTCAAGCATCAGCTGCCTTGACTCCCCTGCCATGAAGGACTGTATCTTGAACTGTGCGCTGAAATAAACCCTGTGTCTCTCCCACTGCGTCTGTCAGAGTGTTTCGTCACAGGAACAGAAGGAGGAGCTGAGACATCACTCCAGTCGTTTGAAGCCTAGCTGGGAACCTGCTTGGTAGAACTAACCAAGCAAGCCTCCATCCTTCTGGAAGCTTCCAGCCTTTGCCACAAGAAGAACTCATCCAGAAGCCACTAGCCTAAAGCTGAGCTGCCTCAGCCACGCCTCACACTTGTGAGGGGAAACAGTATTTGTGGTAGGACGTCTAGGGACTATGGGACTGTTGGTGACATGGCAAGAGCCTGCTGGAAACGGACTGTTAGCTAGTCCAGAGTGAGTGCCCACCCTAGGCTCCCTACTTTAAAACACTATGACATCATTCACCCCATCACCCGGAGAAAGTGGATACCAGGACTCCTGTTTGACAATGGGGGAGTAGCAGCTTTGAGACAATGACTTGTCCCAAGCTCTTAGCTGGGAGGTGATGGGAGGTGATGCTGTCAGAATTAAACTACAGCGTTTCCTTCCCTGGACAACGATAAACCCAGACATTGCAGAGTACCCACCCTGTGCCCCATATCCCTTCATTCACGTGGACAATCAATCCCACTGAATCCTCACAGACCTACTGGGTTTCTCTCTGTTTCACAAAGAGAACTGAGGTACAAAGAGGTTAATTAGGACAAAGCCAAAGGAGTCACACACACTAGAGCTAGGATTCAACCTGGAACAGTTGGGTCCCAATTCTTTATATCTTTATTAAGTTGTTACAGTAGGTGGACACTTTAATAACAGTGTCCACAGATGAAAAAAACGAGGCTCGCCCAGCTCCAAGAAGGTTATGTGAACAGGCTCAATCATAGACATCAGAGGCCTGTTGGTTCACACCTGATTGTCCTGGGTTTTATTCTTGAGGGAGAAGAGGATGAAAATTCAGAGGTCCGGGAAGGAAGCTCCCACATAAACCAGCTAAAATTTGGAGACCAGTGGTCCCATGGCTCTCTCGTGGTTCCAGATTCTGAGCTCGGTCCCTGGAGTGACCGGAGGTCAGGTCACAGGCTGTGGCTTATAGCCATGCAATCCCTCTAGGCCAGTTCCTGGCCCACTCACCATCTGCTTCTTGGAGACTAGCCTTGTCTACACAGTGTCTCCTCAGTCCTCAGCTGCCTAACTGCTGCTGCAAACCCACAGCCTCTCTCCCCCACCCTTGTGGAAAGTCTCCTGGCATGCCAGGCACCTGGTTCCTTTACAAACGCCAATCTTGTTCCCAATTGTGTTTGCTGAGCACTTACTTTAGGCTACAGGCCATGCTCACACTCTAGTGGATGAGATCAAGGCCCAGCGAGCAATCTACATGATGATATACACAGGCCGCAAAGGCCTGCCAGGCTATTGGAGGCCATGAGAGGCCTAATTGATCCTGGAAGCTGTCCAAGCCCAAACCCTGAGTTTTAGTGGAAAGTGTGACATGCTAATCATCCATTCTCCCCTCCTTCCTTCCCAACAATAGTGTCTCCAGTTAGAAATATTGTCCATACCTCTCAGCTACTGGAATGCTTATGACGTTCTACATATTGCCCAGGGCAACACAAAGGTAGAAACTTGAAATGCTAGTTCAGCCACAACTGTACATTTGTGTACTTTAATAACATCCTATACTGATTTAAAAAGTTAAATTAACTTTAAAAGCTTTTTTTTCCCTTCTTGGCTTCTTTCCAGCTAGAGATGTCCATGTGGCTCAAGACTGACCAGTCAGAAGCAGAAATTAGTCTACTGGGAAGGCCTTCCTAGAAAACCATTGTTTATCCCACTCATGAGACAAAACCAGCCTTTTGCCCCTCCCCCTAGGAACCCTTCACACTTCCTGGAAGGTGGCAGCTACACCTACAACCTAGAGAACTGTCTTGGTTGGGTTCCCAGTAGGAATCTTGGCATTTGATGAGGCTGATTTAGAAGTGTTCCTGGGGGAGCGGAGGAGGGCCCCACCAGAGGGCAGAGGAGGGAGTCCCAAGGAGCCTGATCCTCAGTGCTGCTTATGAGCAGCTATGTCGCAAAAGTCAGGTGAAGCCACCGGGAGTCCATTTCTGTTCCTGCAGCTAACTTAGCCTGAAAGCAAAGGGCAGGGAAAGTTATTTGTGGGGATGACACAGCATGTGCTAACCTGCTCTGAAATCCATAATGGAGATATGTTCTCATTTGCACATAAGGAGAGAAACAGCCAAGAAAAGACACTTGGTTCAAGGTCACACAGGAATCCAGTGGCAAAGGCCTTATCTATTGCTGAGTATCAAGCCACCATAAGTAAAGTGGATTAAACGATGCACACTTATTGGGTCATAGAGTCCTAATGAAGCTGCACTCAGTCTGGGTGGAAGTCTTATCTAAGCCTCAGCTGCAGAAGTCTTTGCTTGCGAGCCTTTGCTGGCAGCGTTTCAGCTCTGAGAGGGTGAAGGAACCAGACACCCAGCTGGCAGTGGCCAGAAGTCACCCTCATTTACTTGCCCTTCCAGCACGGTAACTTGCTTCATTAAAGTCAACAGAAGTTATAACCTTACATAATCTAATCACAGAAGGGACATGTCATCACCATACTCTAGAAGCAAATCAGTAAGTCACATACACAA